AAAGCACAGCAGCATAGCTTACAGTAAATCCAAACCTAAATCCATGAATGGACCAAATATCGCCATCTTACACTGAGCCCTACTTCTTAAGGAGGGATTTACTCCACAACACTGACTTTGAAATAATTGCCTACTGTTTGATTGTGAATATTTTTATGACACCCATTGCATTGTTTTTGTGTCAAAACCGCACCCATGTGGTAAAGAATTAGGTTCAAACATTTGATAACAAGTAGGGTAAAACGCTAGTTGATCCAAATTCAGAGTTGAGCTACCTTAAAAAAAACTCTGTGCGTAACAAAACCTATGGTAAACTCACAATACTGATTTTATGCTCAAGTGTAATCACACCCTTATCAACTTCAGCAAATATGTGAATTTCGCAAGCAGTGGTGGGGGAAGGGGAGGGGTCTTCAGGAACTGTAACTCTGACTGCGTTGAGTCACACAGGGAAGCTGACGGAGCAGACTCTAGTGCCTCATGGGGATAAGGCAAAGCCGAGAGGGAGTGGCGGTGATACAGGCAGCCACCTTTGTTTGAGTTAGGATTGTCTTAGTTTAACCAGGAGGCCATTCACTTCTACACCTGAGCTGCTGGGTTTTGCATGTCATGACCATAGGTCATTACTTAGCAAACGGTGAGAAAGGTTAAGCTCAGGCTGACTGTGGATGGTCTCCACAAGATGGATATGACAGAGGGGCTGCAACGATTATTTTCATTGCCCATAAATCTGTTGATTTTCTTGATTAATCGATTATTTGTTTAAAAGATAAAATGTCAGAAAATGTGAAAAATGTCGACTAGTGTTTCCCAAAGCCCAAGATGATGTCCTCAAATGTCTTGTTTTGTCTATAGCACAAAGATATTCAGTTGACTGTCATAGAGGAGTAAAGTAACCAGAAACATTCATATGTAAATACTCAAACTAATTGTTAATCAAAATAGTAACTGATTAATTTAATAGTTGACAACTACTTGATACTACTGATCTATCATTGCAGCTCTATGACAGATTAATAAGGTTAATATTCTCCTTTTGGGGGAAAAGAAGGATGCTTTGGATCTGTTCCAGACTTCCTGATGTGATCACCAGCTTTATAGTCAGCCAGTTTTGGCAATACCAGCTTTTAAACCACACTTAAAGTGACTCTGTAACTAAATGGTAAGTGTTGAGCAGTGTGACAACTGGTGTTGCTGTGCAGCACCTGCAGGCATCAATCAGGGCGTTGGCTGTCTTTCTGGGCAATATTAAACAAAGGAGAGCAGACTTAAGCAACAATGTCTGGGGTACGACTCTGCACACTCATGTGCAAACACTCCACCAGGAAAGTGCTGTAATGGATGAGGAGGTCACCAAGACACAAACTGGAAAAACGCAATTCCACAACTTAAGGAGGTTTGAGACCGGAGACAGTTGGTGAAATGACTTGAGGGGAGCTTTTTAGGAGAGCTCTGTCCTATTCCACAGCAGACTTATTTTTGCATCGACAGAGAGGATTACAAGAAATATAAATACATTTCATCTCAAAAGCCAGGGTTCAGGGTGGCCACAAGTTTTCTATAGTTTGGTTCCACACAAACATATCAGAGTAAACATATCAGAGTAAACATAGAGTGACGAAGGACTTGGCCTGTATGACAATCCCTAACTGACATTATGTGGTCCCTTTGTTTGCTGCAGAAAGGATTCAGTTTCAGAAAAACACCATGTAGGTAATGACAGTGATAAAAAATACACACAACAATGCTGTAAGACAATAATGACACAAATAAACCAAAATGCTATGTAAGTGAACTCAGTGAGGTTATAGATGTTGTGTGTGTGTGTGTGTGTGTCTGTGTGTGTGTGTACCATACAGAGATCTGTAGATCGGGTAATGTAAGTTGGCGTGCTGCAAGGCCACTGTAGCCATGCAGCAGCTTGTCTGGTAAGAGCAGCAGCTGCATTCCTGAGAGATTGATAATTACCCACTTCAAATCTGCTTTCACCCCTCCTCCTCCTCCACCACACACACACCTCCTCCTCCGTCCCTCATCCCCTGCTCTTGTTTTCCCATCCTCTCTCCCGCCTGCCCTGCCAAACATCCCTCATACAGCGCAGTGGCCTAGGAGACCAGGCCATGACAGAAAATTATAATGGCTGGCACATGAGAGTCATTTTGAGATAACATTATAACATGAGGTTGTGTTCACTGGCCGAGATCATTGGTCACTGTATATTCCCTTTAGAGGAGAATCACAAATATTTTTATCTGTGAAAACAGGAAGATTTTCCTTTAACAGAATATGTGGAACAAGTATGAAAAACATTAACACATGCAGGTGACAATTCTCTAAATATATTTGGAATTGCTGATATAATCTGACGATGGTGAGAATTGCAATTTCCTGGTAAGTGATCCGAGTTGACACATGTTTTGAAATATGATCTGAAGTCATTTGCATTCAATGTACTGTGTGTGTCAGTACCTAAACTGCTCTTAAGTAGGGATCATTTTCATTAACAAATAATCTGCCAATATTTTCCTGGATTAATCACTTTATCATTTTGTCAATAACAAGTCAAAGAAATACTGCAAAGTACTCAATATAATTCCTCATAGTCCAAGAAGTGGTTTCAAACTCCTTGTTTTATGTGACCATCAGTCTAAAACCCAAAGATATTCTGTTTCCTATCACATAAGACAAAGAAGCACCAAAAACTAAAAAAATTTTTAGTAGGTCATGTTTGGCATTTTTTCTTGAAAATGCCGTAAACGGCTAAATGATTATCAAAATAACTGCAGATTCATTTTCGGTCGACTAATCGATTATTAGACAAATCGTATATGCTGATATACTGTAGTTGACTGTACATTACATAAGAAGTGCACTTCCCTGGGTTATGATACAAATTAACAAACAGATTTTGGTCCAATTGTCAATTTTGATAAGTGTCTTTAATTACATTTTTAAATAAATTACATTGAAATGTGGTCAGTTCACACAATGTTCCTGTTTGAATGCCCATAATCATAGTTTCCATTGTTTCCTTCTTTGTTTCTTTTGCAAAACAAGGACAGAAAAATGATGGAAATTTGACTTTTCTTTGGCACAAGAGGTGGCAGCTAGCAGAGCTTTGTAAAGTGTGTTGTTTGCTTTGCTTCCAGGGGTTGCCTGGGGTCTTAGTCTGGACTGCAGCCTCTGTGGAGCTTAAGACCCCTGAACTGACAGGTCAGTCAGGGGTGAAAAAGAAAGTGTTGTGCAGCAGCAGCAGTGACCAGCTCGCAGCGTAGGCAAACACAGCTGGACACTTGGGGTTTAAAAATAAATCCTGGCATCTTTGTGACTCTGCTCTGCCCCAGTCAAAACAAAAACTCTGTAGCTGCTTTTAAATCCTTTCAATCTGGGGTTAACTCAGTCTGACAGTTGCCAGAGTGGACAGCAGTCAAAGAAAAATGTAGTGTGGGAATTAAAAAAAAAGTCCTCCATTTGGACCAGAACTTGTATAAACTTTCAGAAAGGCAAGAAATGAAAGGATGTGAGTCATGCCTTAACGCCCCATAACGGCTATTGATTAAATCTTTCACAAGTGTTGATGAGGAGTCACTGATGAAATGCTGATCAGCTATTTCTTCTGATTAACAGCACACTGTGTCCTACTCATCAGGAAGGAGTGTCCTCTCACTACAGGCCTGCATCGCATCACACACACACACACACACACACACACACATCGTCAAGTGTCTTTGTCCATTACAACACCAACTGTTCCTCCTGTTGCCGTCTCTTAACCAATAGCTTTCCCCCATCCCTGGCAGCTTCGTCACTGACAAAGTTTGAGTGAACACAGTAATCAAGTTGAAGTTGACCCTACCTGGCTGCACCATCCCAAATACAGAACACACACTTAGTCTTTCTTTCTAGTGAATGTGTTATCCTGTCCCACCCCTCATCTCTCACTGCCATCATCCAGTCTCTGCTTTGATGTCTGTCTTGATCTTGCTCTCAATCTCAGGTATTTCACCATTCTCCGCTGTACCTCTAGTGCTTACATAACACAACTGTAATCTCCATGGGTACAAGCCCTGGCATGGCAGGCTGGCGCAGAAGGAGCACCAGTAAGCACGACACACCCTTTCTAAACAAATGGCTCTGTCTCAGCCTCACCTTACAAGAGGTAAAGTTGAAGCAATGGAGCTAAAAAAAAAACAACAAAAAAACAGGGGCCAACCCTTGATTGCTGGAAGTTCTGCAGAGTTTTCAGAAAAGTTTGGATTTGGAGCTCGCTTCCAGTCCAAAGTCCAGGAGAGGGCCTGAGGTGGTCCCGTTATCTCTGTCAGGTTAATCAACAAACAGTGGATCTATATAAGAGCATTATGAACTGCTGCACATGGACTGTCATGGCCGGGCTTAAATGAAACCAAGTGTCACAGCACCATGCTGTCAAGCAGTCTCAATTTGCTGCTGAGACAGTGACGGGAAATAACACAATAGTCTTCGTTGTCATGCGTTCCATAGCTGAGGGAAGCACTACAGGTCATAAATTACCTCTGCTAAGGATCCATCAAGGCCAAGCTAAACAAATCTCCCACACCTAGTTTTCCATGCATGCCTATACTCAAGCTGGATCTCTCGCATTAATTTGCACCTCACTTTATCTGATTACACATTACAATACTTTTGACTATAGTCTTTATTTTTATTGCTGACCTTTTTATTATTATTATTTTACATTAAAGCAACAGGTGTAGAATAGCCTAATCAGACAACATGATGCAACATCTTTCCCTAAAATGTATTTTCTGTACATCCATAAAGGTTTATTCAGTCATTCATCATGGTGTCATTGTACTGTAATTTTAGGAAATAATGCGAAACTAATATATTCCATTACTTGATCATGCCAAAGCAAAGTTTATGAGGCTTTTTAAAGAGAAACTGGCAAAAGACACAACTAGCCTACACGTTTCTGTTAAAACTTATAGAACTTGATAAAGAAAAGCAGCTGTTCATCATACCTTGTTGAACTTTTCTGATCCAGATGGGTGGATTCACCCTCTCTCCATTTGAAGCGTCTCCCGGCTGCGTTCTTCCTCTCCAACTCCAAAACTTTCACCGTCCGAAGGAAAACTTCAGGTGAACCATTTCCGTGAAAATCACTTGAGGAAGCGACTGGAGTGTGGATCTGTTTATGTACCCGCGCGGACTCAGATTTGCTGGATGGCAGCAAAACGGACTCCTGCCCTGTCGGTGCTGTTCGTCTGCGGACGTTCCAGCGGACCGAAGAGGGGGAAATGAAGGGAAGTCGCGTCGCCGTCGACCTGCAGCTCCCACCTGGAAGAGGCAGGGATCGCTCAGGTGTGAGAGTGGGAGGCATGCGGTCAATGTTGTGAGGACATCTAGTGGCGAGACAGCGGAACAACAAGTAACACAGAGCAAGCGAGGACGATAGGGACTTTTCTTTTCCCACGCTTAGTTTGCATTTCCAGCTTTTTTTAGGCAAAGAAAATGTGTTCCTATTCCCAAACTGTTATATAAGCACATCTGGATATTAACTGTTTTTACACAACAAAGGCTAGGCTATGATTCAAACATATTCTTGACAAATACATATTCATTTTTGTTTGTTTGGCTTGTTGGGCTATTTATGCAGAACAACAAATCAGTGCAAAACCATAAAAGATACATTTGTCACTGTCCTGCTGTGAAAACCATGTATTTGCAAAACATCAACATTTTTTTTATCACTTATTAAAAACAGGCTGTGTTCCGCTTTGCGACAATACACTTATCACATTATCCATATCTTTTAATTGTTTATTTAACTGAATTGGTCAATAGGAAATCATCTCATCTGGATATACATGGGTGTCTTTGGAAAGCGCAGACATTTGTACATAGTTAATTGGTTGACAACATTGCCATGGATACTCATGTTATGATGAAGACTCTCTGGATAAACATACAGTGCATACTTATCACTTTTCTGTTTGGATAGTCTTTTCATGTGGGAAAATGGAAAATTATAAAACGCATTCATTCTTTGAAAAAGCTCACATCTTCCATTGCGCATCCCAGTGTGTGTTGGTGTCCATTTGTGTGTGAGGGATTTGACAGGCAGCATGCAAAACACCACAAACAAATACTGTTTATAAACCATGCAAACTTTGTGGGCAGCTGAGCTCGATACCGAAGAAAGCTATTAAAAGAAAATCCTGCATGGGCCAGCTAATGTTCCTCTATCTCGGCAGCAGTCTGAGGCAAAATGTTTTCAGGTGGCAAGTTAAATGAAGTTATTGCTCAAACAGTTTTCAGTCATGATGTCACTGCCTTCTTAGATGCACATAAAAAAATAGGCTGTAAAGCTGCATAAATATAGCTCTCTCTGGTACCCATGCCGGTTCAGACGTGTGTTTGCTGATGCATCCAGAGCATGTAGGCCAGTCTGCCCCCAGCACTGACACAGTTTGTGATCCCAAGTGGGGGTCTGAGAGAGTCTCAGATAGAGTTTCCCCCGTTCCCCCCGTGCCTCCAGTGTTATTAATAAACACAAAGTGTGCCTCTGTTTTCCTAGAGACAGACACAGCGCAGAGCTGTCCTTAAAGTTAAACGCAAACTGTCTTTACAGCTGTCTGGACTGTCAACTCCAAACAAAGTAAGTGGGAATATAAGTTAATATGAATTGTTACTGACAATGAACTGAAGATTTCTTTCAGAATTTTACACATGATTACATTTACATTGCTTTCTTATGCAAAACAACCTAAAAGGGACGAGTTGATTAGAGGGATTTGAAAACCAACATCTCATCATTTATTGCTGTGGCTCATTTGATTAATGACCCTTCTCTCCTTTTCCTTTCTTCTGGTCTCCCTCTCAGAAGGCCATGGACAATCAAACATCAGCAGAGAATGAGAAAGATGTGGTATCTGAGGACTCACACATTAGATTTGTTGATATCACAGACAGCATCCATACTGACTCTGAAACAGAGACAAATATTCCCCCAGATGAGTGTACACCACATCCCATAACACAAATGGACCAGGCAGTCATGGACAGCTTGGGACAGCTTTTCGACCAGTGCATCCAGCAAGTGTCCCACCTGGAGATGCAGAGGAATGAGCTGATACAAGAGCTCCTCCGTCTGCAGGAACCCATGCTGCGAGTTGTGGAGCACCTGAGAGGGAGGCTGATGGAGACGAAGAGGCTGCTCATGCTGGCTCAGATGGATTATATCGCCGTTTACGAGGAAGTGCAACAGGTGAAGAGGAAACTGTTTGCCACTGCCAAAGACTGCATCCAGAGCCAGGTGACGCTGGCTGCACAGCAGTATGAGGTGGCTGAGTCCGCAGTTACGCAGGTAGGAGCCGCTGGATTCTTGACACCTAGAGGATTGACTTCCTGTGGCAGGTTATAGCAGATCATTGTGTTTTTGTTCTGCAGTTTGAGAGGTGTTTTCACATCTATAAGTATAGATATATAGATAATATATAAGTTACTCCTTTCATATTCCCATGTACCAAGTGGACATTTGGTTTTGCAGCAAATACTAAAAGATTACATAAAAGTTCTGTGTGCAACAAACAGGGATCAATGCTAAATTTAAGGCACGCAGCAGAAGACAAGTGATCATCATCATTATGAAATCTACAAAGCAAATTCACATTGTGTCTGGGAGTGAAACCAGATAATACATTATGTTGGAACCTACACTACCGTTCAAAAGTTTGGGGTCACATTGAAATGTCCTTATTTTTGAAGGAAAAGCACTGTACTTTTCAATGAAGATAACTTTAAACTAGTCTTAACTTTGAAGAAATACACTCTATACATTGCTAATGTGGTAAATGACTATTCTAGCTGCAAATGTCTGGTTTTTGGTGCAATATCTACATAGGTGTATAGAGGCCCATTTCCAGCAACTATCACTCCAGTGTTCTAATGGTACAATGTGTTTGCTCATTGGCTCAGAAGGCTAATTGATGATTAGAAAACCCTTGTGCAATCATGTTCACACATCTGAAAACAGTTTAGGTCATTACAGAACCTACAAAACTGACCTTCCTTTGAGCAGATTGAGTTTCTGGAGCATCACATTTGTGGGGTCAATTAAACGCTCAAAATGGCCAGAAAAACAGAACTTTCATCTGAAACTCGACAGTCTATTCTTGTTCTTAGAAATGAAGGCTATTCCATGCGAGACATTGCTAAGAAATTGAAGATTTCCTACAACGGTGTGTACTACTCCCTTCAGAGGACAGCACAAACAGGCTCTAACCAGAGTAGAAAAAGAAGTGGGAGGCCGCGTTGCACAACTGAGCAAGAAGATAAGTACATTAGAGTCTCTAGTTTGAGAAACAGACGCCTCACAGGTCCCCAACTGGCATCTTCATTAAATAGTACCCGCAAAATACCAGTGTCAACATCTACAGTGAAGAGGCGGCTGCGGGATTCTGGGCTTCAGGGCAGAGTGGCAAAGAAAAAGCCATATCTGAGACTGGCCAATAAAAGAAAAAGATTAAGATGGGCAAAAGAACACAGACATTGGACAGAGGAAGACTGGAAAAAAGTGTTGTGGACGGATGAATCCAAGTTTGAGGTGTTTGGATCACAAAGAAGAACGTTTGTGAGACGCAGAACAAATGAAAAGATGCTGGAAGAATGCCTGACGCCATCTGTTAAGCATGGTGGAGGTAATATGATGGTCTGGGGCTGCTTTGGTGCTGGTAAGGTGGGAGATTTGTACAGGGTAAAAGGGATTCTGAATAAGGAAGGCTATCACTCCATTTTGCAACGCCATGCCATACCCAGTGGACAGCGCTTGATTGGAGCCAATTTCATCCTACAACAGGACAATGACCCTAAACACACCTCCAAATTGTGCAAGAACTATTTAGAGCAGAAGCAGGCAGCTGGTATTCTATCGGTAATGGAGTGGCCAGCGCAGTCACCAGATCTGAACCCCATTGAGCTGTTGTGGGAGCAGCTTGACCGTATGGTACGCAAGAAGTGACCATCCAACCAATCCAACTTGTGGGAGCTGCTTCTGGAAGCGTGGGGTGCAATTTCTCCAGATTACCTCAACAAATTAACAGCTAGAATGCCAAAGGTCTGCAATGCTGTAATTGCTGCAAATGGAGGATTCTTTGACGAAAGCAAAGTTTGATGTAAAAAAGATCTTATTTCAAATACATATCATTATTTCTAACCTTGTCAATGTCTTGACTCCATTTTCTATTCATTTCACAACGTATGGTGGTGAATAAGTGTGACTTTTCAGGAAAACACAAAATTGTTTGGGTGACCCCAAACTTTTGAACGGTAGTGTACATATAAATTATATTAAAGCCACATTGTCTCTATTAGAAAATTGTATGAAATCAAGCACATGTACACACATTATATTTTATATTGTTCACTTCACTTGATAGTCCCATACATTACGTACTGTGTAAAAGTATGAAGAAACATATATAGAACAAATACAAATGCATTTTCCATACTTCAATAGTGACCTGTTAAAGTGATGGATTTATGGAACAGCTGAGGAACTGAAAACACATAGCACACTTTGTACGTTATATGATATATATAAAAATGTAAGACCAGAGTAGCATGTTGGTAAAGTCTGGCATCAAATAGGCTGTGTTGTAGCTAAATAAGGATTGGCACAATTAGCTGAAGCTTCAGGCTAAATCTTCTCGGTTTTCTACTGTTTTGTTCGGCGTAATTGCATACATTGCATTGATAATTGTTTGTTTACTTATCTACAAATTTCATGTTAAATCTTAATGAACAACTGTCCCCTCCAGTTTTTTTTCTGAAAAAACCTTGTTTACACTAGCTTTGCTCTCCATGTCTGTTTTTTAAATTTTGTCCATAGGAGGAGCTCAAGGCCCACATCCAAAGTCTCACCCAGGAGTTGTCCCAGCTCCAGGAGGCCTACCAGAACCAAGTAAACTCCCTGAGGGACCGGGCCAACAAATCCTGCAGGCCCAGGGCCATGAGTGATGTCAGTCAATGCCGCCAGGCTTCTGTCAGACTGCAGCGGCGGCTCAGTGGCAGCATGAGGGCACTGGAGAGTTGGTACGAGCCTCGACTCACGGCCCTCCTGAGAAGAAAGCAGATTGGGGAGGACGCCCTGAGAAAGAGCAGGGAGCAGGCCATAGACCTGAGGGCCAGCATTGGGCCCCTGAGAGAGGACATACAGAGACTGGAGGTGCAGAGAGCCTGTCTGGTGGAGAGGATCGCTCTGATGGAGAGGGAGAGGGAGGAGAGCGTTGCACAATACAAGGTACAGTGACTGAAGTCAGGAAGGACAATTTTTTAGGATGTTTGGTGAAAATAGGTCAATGTTTCTCTACATTGCACAGGAGACTGTGGAGTCATTAAAAGAGACTCTGAGGGAACTACAAGTGGAGTTTGAGGTTCAAAGAAACTCTAAGAAAGACTTGGAGGATCATAAGGATGGCCTTGTAAAAGAGCTGACATTTCTGAGGTAGGTTGACTCAGATCCTTTTACTCTTTAACCGAGACATTGTGAGAATTTAAAAATAAATACTTAGAGGCTGTGATGAACCCAGTGAAACCACCGAGGTGGATCCCTAATTTCTAATTTCGGTGGATATATTTTAAGTCTATTATCTACACTAGACCAAACCACGACACTGTATTTACATTTAATGTCAAAAAGATAAAAACAAACAATGTGCAGAATTATTCAAACTTAGAATTTTTTTATGCTTCTACTTCTAGACTTATTTACTTATTAATCCATATTTTACAGGAAATTACTCAAGTACTAACTTAACATCTGTCATGCTGTGCCAAGAAACAAGGCAAAAAGATTAACTGTAAATATTTTATTATGAATATACTCAAGGACACAAAATGTCAGATGCAGCACAGAAAAACATCAAATAAAAAACACATACAGGTGACAACACACAATCTGGAGAATGTATACTATGTATATCAAGCAAATACAAGAAAGAAAAAACTATAATATGTACAACTTTAATAAAAATGGATCTCTGTATAAATGTTTTCAGCACAACTGATCAAGAGGAAAAAAACAAACCTGAAAGTTGGACACATCTGAGGCCGTTTCATCACAGACCAGAGTAAATTTAAGTTTAAGTGCTGCCCAAAATGTATTTTAGAAACACATTACTGCTTATGCACATTTTTAACAAGCAGGTCAAATGAAGAGACGTGGAGACTGGACTCATGCCTGGACCTCTGCATCTGCAGCACCTTCTGGGTCCTCGTCATTGTAGATATTTTCAGCCTGTAAAAAGAAACAATTCAAATGTACACTGAACAAACACCTTTTTTGCCCCTATTCATCATGAGCTGAACTAAAGATCTAATACTTTCTCTATGTACACAAAAGGCGTATTTCTCTCAAATGTTGTTCACAAATCTGTCAAAATCTGTGTTAGTGAGCACTTCTCCTTTACTGAGATAATCCATCCACCTCACAGGTGTGGCATATCAAGATGCTGATCAGACAGCATGGCTATTGCACAGGTGTGTTTTAGGGTGGCCACAATAAAAGGCCACTCAAAAATGGGTCCGGAAACCAATCAGATGAGCTTCCCTGAGACGGTTCCTGACAGTTTGTGCAGAAATACTTTGATACTGATACTGCAGCAGCTGTCCGGGTGGCTGGTCTCGGGTGATCTTGGAGGTGAAGACGCTGGATGTGGAGGTCCTGGGCTGGTGTGGTTACACGTGGTTTGCGGTTGTGAGACCGGTTAGATGTACTGCCAAATTCTCTGAAATGCCTTTGGAGACGGCTTATGGAAATGAACATTCAATTCATGGGCAACAGCTCTGGTGGACATTCCTGCAGTCAGATTGCCAATTGCACGCTTCCTCAAAACTTGCGACATCTGTGGCATTGTGCTGTGTGATAGAACAGCACATTTTCGAGTGGCCTTTTATTGTGGCCAGCCTAAGGCACACCTGTGCAATACCCATGCTGTCTGATCAGCATCTTGATATGCCACACCTGTGAGGTGGATGGATTATCTCAGTAAAGGAGAAGTGCTCACTAACACAGATTGACAGATTTGTGAAAATATTTGAAAGAAATGGGCCTTTTGTGTACATAGAGAAAGTCTTAGATCTTTGAGTTCAGCTCATGATGAATGGGGGCAAAAACAAAAGTGTTGCGTTTATAATTTTGTTCAGTGTATATTCACTGTTAACTTGTGTTCACTGTTAATAAATGCACTTCACAATAAACTCTGTGCTGTGTCTGAAATTTACAGTCCTTTATATATCCACATAATTTTATGATCCTCTGACAAACGAAGCGCTTACCATCTGCCAGACTTGCATGATGTTGTCTTCTGACACAGAACATATGACCCAAGGCTCGTTGGGGTTCCAAGAGAAGTCTGAGATCTTAGCTGTGTGTCCGCCGTGGATGAACTAAAGAGAGAAGGAGGGAAAGCTACAGCACTTTACATTCAACAAAAACAAACACATTCACAAATACACATGAACAGTAACTGTTTTTGTCACAACCGACCAGCAGCTCAGGAGGGCCATCCTCAGCATCCTCTGGTGACTGTTCCTCTCCGATCTTGCTGAGGTCCCACACGTTGAGCCTCCTGTCAGTGCCGCTGGAGGCCAGGATGGTTTCGTTATGAGGAGACCACTGAACCTGTTAGGGTTAGGCGAGGATGTCATGCAGCCAGACGCTAGGTAAATGTAGAACTGGCATGTGTGCTTGAGAGGCACGTATGCCACATTGTACAACATGATTAATGAGCTACAGCGCTCCTTAAGTCGTCTCTTTCTCTTATGATTCCACTGGCCATCTGTAGTTTTAGTTTTCGTTTACTGACATTAAAAGCCCAACTTACCTCCACATCAGCCTCAAAACAACACTGCAACGAACTGGTTTCTGATTAATTTAACTGACTAGAGCCCTGTTCTTCAGATGTGGCTCAACAAATTCAGGCTAAAAGAATTTTTAGAATTAAAACAAAAGTGATTTTGAAACAAAGGCAAAATGAGTAGAGTTGAAACCATGATCAGCATTCATATGATTGGCTGAGAGCTGATCACATGATTTTAGATACATGAGGTAGGTGTGTTAGGAAGCTTCCCCGCCTGCACTGGGGCAATAGATCCACTGATATTTCGTATGTGTGTTCCTGCATTTTATTATTTTGTTTTACATTGTGATCTACAATGTTTACTATGGAAGCCTACAGGGGACTAATTTAACATGATAATGTAAACTTGAAAATTAAAATGTAATTCCACAACATCATTATAATTTTCTACATATGTATGTGTTGAGTGAAAATCAAAATGCAATAAAGCATCCATTGCATTTTCATTTTCACATACTCGTATGGTCATTCTATATTAATTAATATGTAGGTGTGGGCTTAAGGACTTTATGCTCTGACAACAGATACATTTTAACCAAGCTTTAAAGAACCAAAAAAAAATCCAGACTCATATCAAATCAATCAACATTCAAAATAATAAAACTCAGTTATCCATTATTATATAAAGACTGGGTCTTACCTGAAAGATCTCGTCCTTGTGAGACTCAAATGAGTGCAGCTTCAGCTTCAGGTTCCTCAGGTCCCAAAGTGCCACAGTCTAAAAATAAAAGTAGAACAGATCCTAAATCAGGGGACAGCAACACGCTATGCAACAGTTCTGCAGAGAAAGTGAGGACCCACCTTATCTGCAGAGCCAGTGGCCAGGATGAACTCGCTGTAGGGATTGAAAGACAGGCAGTTGACCTCAGCGGTGTGGGCGTCCACTGCATGGCTGGGCTTGGAGGTGTTGTTGGACCGCGTGTCCCAGCTGTGCCAAGACAGACAAAAGCGCCATTGTTAGGGAACAAAACAGAAACAGAACAACAACTTTGTTTCTCGTGAGTGGGTAATTAATTTTGTTACCAACTTAAGAGCTGCTCACATCATGAGTTTCTGGTCATCCGCGACGGATCCAAAGAGTGACTCATGGAGCAGGTGCCAGGAAACATCCTCCACCACAGCAGTGTGTCCTGTGAAGATGGTCTTTGCATCCACAATCTTTCCCTCCTTGGGCACTGTGCTGATGTCCCACAGGCAGATAGTCTGTAAGGGAGAGGAGAGATGGGTATGGAAATATATTAATAATATAAAAGTTTTAAAGGGCACTTTCAAAGTTACAAAATACTTTGCAGTAGCAACAACCGAAAGGTCAACACAAGTTAAAGACTAGTTAAGTAAAACAGTAACAAACAGGTTAATTTGTAATAATTAATGATTATTTTAATATCCTACACTAATGATTAAAGACTTAACAATGAGCCACAGGAAAACATAAGATTCCATTTAAACGAGTTAAAACATGAAGAGACTCAGGTATGTTGCAACAGGTTGCTTACATGGTCATCTGAAGCACTGAGGAGGCAGCCGCTGAGATTTGGGTTCCATGAGAGGCCATAGCCCTCCTTCTGGTGGCCTCTCAAACGTAGATCTGGGGTGCATTCTCCAGAGGGGTCTTCAGGATAAATAAAATCAAATGTTCACAAAAATTCTGCGGAAAGAACACACTTGAAAAACTCTTGAGAAAATGGATGTAATCCTACCAGGCTTGGAGGGGTGCTTCGTGTAATCAAAGACAAGCACGTCGCTGGTGGGAGTCTTAGTGGCAATGATGCAAGGATTCTGAGGCATGTACCGGGCTCGGTTCACTTCTCCTTCATGGTTGATCTTGATCTCAATCTCTATCTTCCCACTTACAGACCCAAAGCCTCCAAATTCTGAATTAAAGGACAACAGATGAATATGACGGTGGTGGCGAATGTGTTGAATGATATTCTGTTCTACTAAGACAGTTAAATGGTTGTATGTATAGTTTGTTGCATTTTACTAACTAAAATTTAATCTAAACCAAAAATACGTACCCATATTTTCTGAAGCATTAAAGACTTCAGCAAAATTGTACTTTATTCATTCAGTGAGAAGAACTGTGAACCACAATATTCAAATATAAGAACTTGTTTGAGACACTGAATACACTGAATGACAACAACGTTAATATTGAAATGCCACACAGGCCTAGCTGCGGCTATGTGAATTACTTTCTTTAATATATTCGACTTGGTTCTGTATGTGAATAATGGCTATGAATTTAAATGTCATTATCATTTGAAACATAGTTTATCCATTAATACATTTACTGTGAGCATTCAACAGCTAGGCACAGCATATAGTACACTCTAGTTTTTAACACAACAAAGCTTCCCGCGCACATCTCATTCCTCACCTCCTTTCTCGCTGTCGTAGTGTGAGGCATCAAACTGGGCATCATCATTTGGGAGCTGAACACTAGCAATCACAAGGTGGTTCTGCTCATCGGAAGTGTGTGTCCCCAGGACCAGCCTGTGCACGCTGTAGTCCTTCCCTTCTGGCCTGTGAGAGATAAAACAAAATACATATAATTTATTCATTCATTTAAAAAATCTGGACCCTCCCTTGTGTTATGTTTTGGTGTTTGTCAAGGTGCAGCAGACCTCTGCTCACCTGGTGACATCAGGCAGCCACTGGGCAGTGAGGCTGGGCCACTCCAGGGCGTGTGTCATGACTAGGTCGTAAAGGAAAGGGGTGTTCTTCTTCCAGATCTTGTACTCCTCATTGATCATCCTTTCCTCCACAGCATCATCAAATGCAGCTGCAGTAAAGTAAAGAAATATTTACCAGCAACACAAAGCTACGTTATAATGAAGTCATTCAGCATCTAATTTGCTTGGACTGAACAGAGGATATTGGGGTGACTTTACTTTAACATACTCCTTAAGTTTTCCAGTCAAGTCTTTTACTTGTTAAATGAACCTTTATTTTGCTGAAAAGATACTGTCAGCTGCATGGGTACAACGCCTAAATCAGCTCGTGAGGAAGATCCAAAGCAAAACATCATTACATGTGGGACAGTAAGTTAACCAGCACTACTACATTGAAAAGCATGTAATGTTATAGCCAGCCTGCTAGCAGCTAACCTTAGCTAGTTAACTGGTGTGTGTGACATGAAAGGATATGATGGCTGGCGCGCCAACATCCACCGGTACTTTCTATCATTCTGGACAACATACGCACACATTTAATCATGTAACTCAGAAATGTGAACACCCATACCGTCTTTATCAGCCATTGCGTCTTAGTTAAACCGCTAATAGTGGCAAAGAGTAGCAGTTCTCTGCTCTAAAGGAAGCGCCGATGCTTACGATGGCGCCAACTCCATGCAACAAGATCGGCCAATCACAACTCACCAAAACCGACAGGAAGTTGCTACAGCAACACATTACGGCATCCGCAGCACCAGAGCCCTATAGAGAAAGGGCTCTGCGTAACACTAACAGTTGTTGTAACTTATTTAACGGCTCTGGTGGTTGTAATAAAGGCGCATTGGAAGCTGCGTCAATGGTATGAAATGGTAATAGCTAATTAATAAAATAGTAACATATTTACATGTTTATATTTCACAGTTGCTTTGGCAATGTCAACAAGTGGGCGTGGTTTCCACCGCATGTGAAAGTGTTGGGGACGTTACTCTGGGAACGTCGTGTGGATGAATGGACGCATATTGGGTTTTGCTTGCAAGCTGTTATCCTTAGGTAATAATCTTTAAGTTCACTTTAGTGTCATGAATGTTTCATTTAAACAATATTGCCAAAGCAGTTTGCAACAAAATCAAAAATGTTTCAGAATCAGACTCAGCTTTTATTGCCAGGTATGTGTACACATAGGAGGAATTTGATTGTACATTGCTCACGATGTGCTTACTTATACAATAATACAATAATAAAATCAGACACAGGCAACAGTATAAAGACACATAAATACACATTATGAATAAAAACAATATACACAGATTGAGACAATAGTGCAATGACCAGAGGTCAAACAGGAGTAAATTATTATTACCATTGTTGGTATTATTATTATGTACATGTCAGAGGTGAATGAGATATACAGGTGCATATACATACGCATGCATACATATACACATGTACACAGTGCGATGGAGTAAATTGCAAAGGAATAGGACATAACAAGATCAATCCAACAAAGACCATTCAGTTTAACAGATACAAATTACAAAAACAAAAAAACAAAAAAACAAATACAGATAGGCCTATATCTTACTAATAACCTTTATATAGTGATAATAAGCAGGCTGAGAATTGGGCATAGCAATCTTAACAGCACACTTTTAATTACAGGAAAACATCCTACAGGACAGTGTGAACAATGTCAGGAGGCTGAAACAGTAGAACATATTCTTACAACATGCAGGAAATTTACTGAGGAAAGACAAGAAATGATAACACAGTTAAAAAAAAATAGGACAGGTAGATAATACAGTAAAAAGTTTATTGGAGTATGGAGAAAGTGTGGAGGGTAGGGAATGGATATTTGGTTTTCTGAGGGCGACTGGATTAGATAGGCGGTTTTTATATGAATGAAAGTAAAGGGTAAATAAAGCCGGAAGGTGGCAGTAATGCAACTCAATGGATGCCAGCTACCGTAAAAACCCAAAGCAGAAGAAGAAGAAGAAGACAAGGACCACAGCTAGGCTACTAAATGGGCGCATGTTTTTATTAAGGGGCGAGGCAGAAACCCACGTGTCACAGATAGAGGAAATGACTCTTACGTGAACCGTCTCCTTTGCGAACGGTGGGTGGTTGTAACACACCGACTTGGTAAAGATCAGATGTGATAGTATTTCTCAACGTTGAACAACCTCACAGCTACAATGGACACCCGTCAGCTAGAACTGACAGAGGCGCAGAAAGCTATCAAGTCAAAATACCCACCAGTCATCAAGAAATATGAATGTAAGTCTGAAGATAATGTAGCTAGCTTAGCTTGTTTACTTTTAACGTTACCTGTGAAAACAGTAATCTGAAATATTTTCACCGTCTCGAACGTCAGCTGACTAATAGCTAACGTAATGCTTATGCTCTAATTAAATAAAAAAGTTTATCTAAATTAAGTGACATGCCATTCATAGAAGAGAGTATTCTCATATCTGTCCCGCTGATCCAAGTTAGTCTGACAGCATGCCCTGGCTCATCATGTCACCTTGTGTTTTACTATTACAGACCTGGATCATACAGCGGATGTACAGTGAGTGTGTTTTAATATATTCCATCTAGTATTTGTCAGTCCTTGTGTTTCTCTGTTGTTCAGTAGTCATCATTATCATATTTCCTGCTCCATCTCCCAAGAATTCACTCCTGGGGTGACTCTCTGGAGGAAGCCTTCGAGCAGTGTGCCATGGGCATGTTCGGCTACATGACGGACACAGAGACAGTGGAACCGGTTGATACTGTTGATGTGGAATCAGAGGGTGAGAGCACAGACCGTTTGGTCGCAGTCTGTTCAACACAAGCCTCATTCAACAGTTTCTGTTCTGTTTACATCAGCGTTGATGGTTCCAGATCAGTGAAACTAAACTCTATGCAAACTTTTCCCTTCTCAAAAGGTGAAGACATGGAGTCCCTTCTTTTCCACTTCCTAGATGACTGGTTGTTCAAGTTTAGTGCAGACCTCTTTTTTGTTCCCAGGGTGAGTGTGTTGGTCGGTCGTCATTTATGGAGTGCTGGAATTTTAAAAAACATCTAGGTGGGTAGGTGACTGGGGTTGTATGGTAGAACCATAGTCTTTTATGTTGGCTCTGTTTTTTTCTTGGTGGAGTTTGCCTGTTATCCACTTGTCCACATGGGTGTCCCATAGTACAAAGATATGCCAGTCAGATAGTGTAGAGACTGTTAACTCACCATGTGCTTGTCCTGCAACGGACTTGCGACCTGTTCAGGTGTTTTCTCTGCTTTTGAATGCTGGGATAGCCTCTAGACTCATGTGGTCCTGAAAGGGATTTACATTATAACATGTGCCACTTGTTATGGAAATAAAGTGAGTTAGGTTCATGTGTGATGAAGAAGTCTTGGAGACTGATGAAATGAAGGCTTACACAGCATGGTTTAATGAGACTCGGCTGAGGAGATACAGTGCCAGCATACAACGTGTGAATGGTGTGAGCACATGCAATGCCAACACCAAATCTGAAGGATACCTCCTGTCTGGGGATATTTATCCTTCCTAGACTTACAGAAATTCACTAAGTTTCCAAATAAGTTATCCTTCACCCCTCTATATATGTGTGAAGAGTCTATTGGTTCAAATCAGGACACTCTGCTTACCTAAGTTAATCTTGAGTCATGTTGTGTGTCGTCATTATCAAGGCAGCTGAGTCAGAGAGGAGAGTCTGACCTACTGTTTTGGAGAGTTACTGGCTATCACCTTTGGCTCAGCAATTGACCCTAACATTATCTGGGGAAAGCTGTGTTAGTACCCCTAAAAGCCCTTCGTACCACAGTTGCTTATTGAATGAGTCCATTTGCATAACATGTATTTTGATTCTTGTTTGATGGGAACACTATGTTAAGATCATGTTTATTAATTGAGTATTTCTTTTCCTGTGTTATTCTCCTGACACAATTATGTTATATCTATCCACTAGGAGATCAAAGTTTTGCACGTTGACAGAATGCGCTTCAAGATCCGCTCCATTGGGTAAGTTTGGGTACCTCTTCACTAGAACATATTGCACTCTTCACAGCTATAGTACCATCGAGGATGCATATAATGCTGCGTTCCAAACCGGTCGGAACTGGGAAATTTCCAAGCTGAAATATCTGACTTCTGACCTTAAAACGTTTCAGTTGCATGGTGGTACATGACGCCAAATGTAATGACAAACTTATGTGTACAGTTAAACCCTCAGCAGTGCACTTGGTGTTAATTAAAAGGATGGCCATTTTATTAAAAACAAGCGATAAATTACTTGTTACTCGATAGGTTACTTGTTAACTGTGTGTCCTTGTAGCTACATCAATTAGAAATCCTCAAAAGTCAGCAAAAGTTGTAGGCTATATTTCCAAATGTTTTCACATTTCTGGGCATTAACACTTTCCTGAAAAACTTTTGGGTAGAGAAGATGACTTTCAGAGATTCTTTAGGCTACTTTAATCAGCTACCTAATAACATTGGCAAAATATTTCTACATCAATGTACATGGTGCTACATCAGTTGGTAATCCTCAAGAGTCAGTCAGTGTTGTAGAATATAATTCCTACTGTTTTCAAATGTTTTGGCATTTCTAACAAAAACTTTTATGCAAAGAAGATGACTTTATGAGATTCTTTATTGTAACCAGCTACCTAATAACATATTTCTACATCAATTTACATGCAGAACAGGTTTTACTATATGATAGTATTTATACATTAAATACATGCAAAAATGCTTGGTTGCCTTTTAGGTTATTGTTTATCAATTTACAATGAGTGTTTCCATGGGCGCTGCCATTGTTGTGTGACGTCATTCAGCTGTTACTCGCGAAGTTGGAGTACATATTTTTTCTCCAAGTTCACAAGTAGGAAATCCGACTTCAGGTGGCGTTGCGTGGTAATAGTTCGAGTTGGAGGTCGGGAATTTCCGAGTTCATGGTTGCCTGGAACGCAGCATAAGGTATCCACATTGGGGGGGGGGGGACTGTGAAAATATGGTCCCCTAAGGCCAGAGAGACTCTAATGGTGCTTTCAGACCAAAAGCAAAGCGAGCGTTCGGGTCTGTGAGTTTACATACAAAGTCAATGCAAAGACACGTAGAGCCGCGACTTCCTGTCGGGCGGCGCGAAGGGGGCGGTGCCGGCGACGCGAAGGCAACGCGAAGAAATTTGCATGATGCTAAATCACGATATTCTATCAACGTTGAGATTGTCAATACGTCACCGACAGCCTCAGAGCGTTGTGTGGAGAGAGCCAGGCAGAGCAGGCGATTGAAAATCTGCAGGCCAGCTGAGAGCTGCTAAACTTGGGCTAGAGGAGCAGGGAGCAGTGCTCCAGCTTTTGGACAAATAAACACCCATGGTCAAACTGGATTCTGCTCTGACAACTACGCCGTTTGCTCAAGGGAGGAGCTCGGAGTAAACTGCTTTTATTAAATTAGCTTTTTACTTTAGTTTTTGGGATTACAACGTTGATTTATCTTCACTCGAGCTTCTCAGCAGCTAGATTCTGTGCACATCCGGTTCCAGTGTTGTTAGCGTTGTTTGGCACTATATATTTATATAAAAACCGGACAAAACAGGGAGAAATTGCTGGGAGAAAAGAAAGCGAGGAGGTTGAACTACCTGGTGAGTTCAGAAAACATGTGTATGTAACTTTATTCCAGCTATCGTTGTATTTTACTGTGACCAAGTTAGAATATCATAGCCTTGATCGAGCCGAACTCCATTCAGAAAACAAACATTTTAGAAGTTGTTGTCCTGCTGTCTTGCTGACAGACCTGACAAAGCGTGAATTCATATATTTAACAAATCTGCATCATATTTTAGTTATTTCAGCATCAGTTTGATCATTTGTTGCTATTTAATCACAGCAAAATGTTTACTTTGGGTTCACACAGCTGTAGTAAGGGCGAGTTGTGTTTATTCGTGTTATCGCGTTGTGTGTGAACACTCCAGGGATGTCCAGTGATAAAACCCCCCGTGAGGAAAGTGTTACGTGGATTAAATTCGCATTTGGTCTGAATGCACAGTAAGAGACTGCACGGACTCCACTGACTGAGCTCAGGAAGCTTTTTATTCACGATGGAAGAATCCTACAGGAGTGGTGACCGATTGGCTTAGAAAAATGCAAAGGAGACATTCAGAAAGCCAGTAAAGTCAGCCAAACAGCTGTACAACAAACTGGAACAGTACTGCTGGAACTTCAGACATGCACAAATTTTAAACCTAAACCTTCATAGTACTACAGTTGACGCCTCTGCTATGAACTCCACTCCTGTCTGCCGGTGGATTCATAACTTCCTTTCCAACAGGAGACACTTTGCCAAAGTCTGTGACCACATTTCAAGACAACTATACCTCAGCACTGGTACCCCTCAGAGCTGTGCGCTCTTTCCACTGCTGTACTCACTCTACACCAATGATTGTACACCCAGAAGCCAATGTGCAGAGGATGCAAACAATGAGAATGAGAGCCCTAAAAACTAGGACTTAATGCCATCGCCTCATTTATTTCCCCTCAGGCCATAAACCTCATAGACCCCTCTCACAGTCCCACCATTCCCACCTGCCACTTGCACCCCGCTACACAGACTGACAATGTGTCACCCATCACAGTTCCTTGATCTCCTCAATTCCCCATACTTTGTACATTATGCATATTCAAATACTGTTGCACACTGTAAATATTTGCACTGTGTATTTTCCTAAACTGATTGCACTCGGCTTATCTGACAACAACTATTGTATTTATTTCCCTTAAGCTGATCTCTCATTATTTTTCTTTCGTTTATTAAAGTTGGGGTGAAGAATTCTCTCCGGCAAAGCATCCACAGGTAAGCCAATAAATGAAACTTGTTTGAAGATACCACTAAAGAATATCACTGTAAGATTGTTCCGAATATAATTCTGTATGTAATAAAGTTATGGAATAAAGTACAGAAGGCTTTAACCTGTTCCACCATGTCCTTTGTTGTCAATCCAGGGAACTGAGGTTAAAGCCATCACATACTCAGCAATGCAGATCCACGACAAAGAAAAACCAGAGATATTTACCATTATTGATATCTGACGATACCACCAGAAGCGGACTGCACTCCTTGTTCAATGGAACTGGAATATCTACATGGCCAATTTAAATGGCCCTTTCTCTAAGGCACTGGGTATTGATTGATGTGACTGATTTGGTTTTCTACTTGTAGGGTGAACTATTTACTAATGGAGCCATTTCTTGTGATTGTGGATGCACACATTACAGTGGAAAAGCTGTTTGACAGATTATAGATTTGTTATGACATTGGTAGTTAATGAGCTGCATTATTTCAGAAATCACAAAAACTTCAATAAAAGTGAGACTTTCGAGAATTGTAAGAATATGTAGGGAAATATGTTTCATGGATGTGATAGAACTGTTAAATCATTGAAAAGTAAAACTGATTTAGAATGATGTATAATGGTTTTTAACACATTTGTCAATCCAGTTTTACTTTAATTGCTATTGCAAATTTTTATTATTTATCACCAGAAATGTTGATGTTTTTTATTAATCATTGTATCAATCAACACATGTTTATTTTTCTGCTTTGGGATTGATTAAATGATTTCTGGTGCTCTAAGTAAAATCTTACTTTTGAAAGTTTTATGGATGTTTAGTCATTGGAGAGGACAGAGCAGTAAATGGGGAGCTTACACAGCATACAACAACAAAAAATAAATGTATGCATTATTGTTAATAATACTGATTGTTCAACGCACAGACATCCAGTTAAGTCATCTAATACTTATTTGTTGATTTCTACTTGAGCGTACTTTACTAATGCTCTGTTTAGGTCTGTTCAAAGGATCTTAAAGGAAGGCTTCCAATGAGTCAACATCAAAGACTGTATGGAAGAATGACAGGGCGTTTTCTTTGTAACATATTGGCTTGATGCCAACAGTGTTTTTACTAGTTAAACAATAGCTTTATTGATGAGGTGATTGATAGAAAATTGAAAGATAACAATTTGTCAATTTGTTTGTTTCCCAAAACAAACATTTGCTGGTTACACCCTCTCAAATGTGTGATTTGCTTGCTTTTCTATATTTCATAATTAAAAAATCATCCCATTGTTTCAACTGACCCTGTACAAGGATCACAAATTTTTGTGCCGCAAATTGTTATCTGATATAGTGTAACAGTTATACATTATTTTAGAGTTTAGTAAATGCCCCTAAAATCAGTTAAAGTGGCAAAAGTGTGTGTTTTCATCCAGGCCCAGTTTATAAGAATTTCTTCCTAAACCCAAGTGGTATGTTTTAAACATAAAAACTGACTCCTATACAACAGTCTGTTTATGATAGGACAAAAATTTTATTTTATTTATTATTGAATATGTCAAGGATGATAATGTATACAAGCTATATTTCTTCTCAGTAAGTACTTATTTTTAATTAATATTATTTATAAGAGCTGAAATTAATAGACTGATTATTTTCATCGACAGATAATCAGCATCAATATTTAGAACTGTTTTATCGTTTAGCCTGAAATTTGCCATGTTAACAGAATATACTGTCGTTTAAATTAACTCCTTTCTCTTTCCTAATAAGATAAGCCCCCCCCAAAAAAAACCTGTACCCAGTGTCTCTAACATCGGTTTTTAATCAAAATGAAGGGGATTTACCATGGTGCACTCTGTCTGTCTGTGACGTCATTGTCTTCTCCCGTGCTTCTTCCTCCCTCCACACTCAAATGCAGCTGCGCCATTCTTCCTTTGTCCTTTGAAGAAGAGAGTGAGACGACTTGCCACAGAGAGATACCGGTGGGGGCTTTGCAGCTTAATCGTTGATCGCGCACCAGTCGGAACTCGCCGTTGTTTACTTAGTACTTTGTCTTATTTCAGGCGAAGATAACGAACCTAGCAAGGCTTCGTTCGTTAATCTGGTCGTCCTAGTGCATTATGAGCCAAGCGGATGCTAACAGCAAATCTGAGTCTGCCGTAGAGTCGAGCCCAGCACAGAAGAAAATCAAAATGGAAGACACTAAATACCTCCCGGAGCTCCTGGCTGAAAAAGACAGCTTGGATTCATCGTTCACGCACGCCATGAAACTTATTTCTGCAGGTAATGTGCTTGTACGATATCTCATCGAGGCTAACACAGACTAGCTAAAGGTAGCATGGCGCTGGGCCCTGGTATCTCTTTTCTTTTCTTGGACTGGTCTGGCATACAGAGGCCTGAACAATGGTGCATGAAACACGTGTTTGTTGGCGGTGTGGGTCAAACCCTCTCGAATGACTGTATTGGGGTTTATTTAATTAAAAAGGAAGTAGATTTGATGTTTAAATATGTTTTATGTAATCTATGCAAGAATTTTTATTTAATCTGATGCGAATACTGAAGTTCGCTGAGCTTTAGTTCGCCTCATCGAGTAGGACTCATTTTTGCAAGGGACGCTCTCTTACATGGTACCTCCTTTTGATATTTGAATTTGCCCAAAAACTCGATATTAAGAGCATTAACGTTATAATATATAGATACTGTTTTTAGTGGTGTGCATGCTGCTACAAGATAAAGGATATGTGGCCTAATATGGCTAACGTTGCAAATACATTTCTATGTAACTTGCAACTATTGGTCACTGCATCTGTGAATATGATGTGCTTAAAAACCTTTTTCTTGCTTGCAGAAATTGAGAGGATCCAGAAAGGAGAGACCAAGAAAGAGCCAGAGAAGGAAACCTACCTGGATCTGTTTGCTACCAAGAATCTCAAACTCAAAGAGCGAGTACTCATTCCTACTAAACAGTACCCTAGAGTAAGTGTTTCCCTCTTATTTTACTCATTCAGGGCATGGCCACTGCCTGTTGTCTCCATGGGGCTTGGCTACCCATGCCGATTTGATCAGTCGACTGAGTAAGCCATTTGGTGACTCCTAAAATGGGGCCCAGTGGGACCTAAAAACTTCACACTGAAGTTAAACATAAAATTTTGTTACATGTCTGACAATACTGTATCTGATTGACACCCCCTTCCCCTCAGCTTTGCTGTCCCATGATTTATCCAGTTGAGCACACAATGCCCTATTGAGCTTGTTTCTGCGTGAACAATTTTGCAGTAGTCTGAAAATGCAGTCTCTGTGTGAAGAGGAGGGGGCTGTAGCAACTACTGTAGTGCTAAGACATTGTTGGGCCGAATGTGATTCTTACTACCTGATTTCAAATCCAATTATTTTATTTAAACCTGCAGTTATATTTACCTACAATCTGCTTTTCTGTAATACAATGCTTTAATTTTGCTAAAATATTCCCTACAGGTCAACTTTGTTGGTAAGCTTCTGGGACCTCAGGGCAGCACAATCAAGAGACTCCAGGAAGAGACCGGTGCAAAGATCTCAGTTCTGGGGAAAGGGTCCATGAGGGACAAGAATAAGGTATATGGTGACATTTTCCTAGCTGCCCTCTTCAAAGGATGTAAATGCTGTGTTATCCGGATGCCTTGTTTATCATTAACATTCAACATGTTTACAAGGAGGAAGAGCTGAGGAAGGGCGGTGAGGCCAAATACGCTCACCTGTCTATGGAGCTGCATGTGTTCATTGAGGTGATGGCACCCATACCAGAAGCCTATCTGCGCATGGCTCATGCCATGGAGGAGGTCAAGAAGTTCCTAATCCCGGTATGTGTCCGAAACAATCTCTTAAAGCCTGTTTACAGAAACATTTTGTACACTCAAAACTTAACACTTGCATTTCAAACACATGCAAGCTATTTCTTCTCTGGCTATGCACACTTGACTGATTTTTGTCTCGTCTGTAGGAACCTGGTGAGCATGACGCGTACATGGATCCCCACTTCCTGAATGGATCCCAAGATGGTTCAGGCAGAGGGCGAGGTGGTCACCTAGGAAGGGGCAGAGGTGGACCACCTGGTGCTGGAGGTCCAAGGTAGGAGCATGATTTATAATAACACTGACTTAGGCCACAGCCCATTGTAGCATCCTCTTTGCATGTTAACTATTTGCAAGTGAATCCTCACTGGAGCCATGTAGCATTATGCACCTGTGGTATCATGCTTTAGTCTCACGTTTTGCCATTTCTTGAAAGTTTTCCCATAACATTTTACAACATGGCTAACTTTCAACAGGGGGAGGGGAATGCCTCGTGGGGGACCTCGAGGAGCAATGCGTGGTGGCGCTCCACGGGGCGGAGGATTAGGACGGGGTAATGCTCCTAGAGGTGCACCATCTGGTAGGGGTGGACCGCCTTCTGCTCCTAGTAGAGGAGGCTCTGCTCCCCGCTCCAGACCCCCTGCAGCAGGTGCTCCAAGGATGCTCCCCTCTTCAGCCATGTCCCACCAGCAACACCAGGGTCCTCCTTCAGCGTCACAGCCCAAAGCTGATGCCTATGAGGACTATGTAAGTTCTTTAAATCCTGGTTTCTTTTCACATGAATGGTCTCTTAATAAACAGTAGGGATCTCTTGTCACAGTAGTTGTCTAACTTGGCTTTTCTCCCTTCTAGCCTCAATATGAAGAATCCTATGCAGAGCCTGCCTATGAGGGATATGATAGTTATTATAGTCAGCAACCTGCACCTGCGTAAGTTAAAAAAATAAAAATTCTTTTGACACCTACCCATTTTAATCGTGACTATTTAAAATGAACACTTCTTTACTTCCCTCAGGGATACTGAATATTATGACTATGGACACGGAGAGGCCCAGGAAACATCATATGAGCCTTATGGTAAGACTAAAAAAGTGACATCCGTTTGGTTTTGCCATGTAGCCCACACTGACTGAGAACCCTTGTGGAGCACTGGGCATGTTGACTCATGTTTCGTTCCTTTGTTTGTTTCTCTCTTCTGTCCTTATAGCTCAAGATGATTGGGACAACTCATGGTCCAACTCTGGGGCTGGAGGCAAAGCCCCAATGGCCAGGCAGTCAAAGGGATCGTATAGAGAGCATCCATATGGAAGATACTGAACGGCTACTGGTAGAGAGTTGCTTTGGCAACTGTCTCAGATTGTAACTCTCTGAACTTTTCAAAAGTAATTTCCCTCTCGTTTGCTCCCTTTTTTTTTTTTTTTAAATCTCGGATGTTTTGTTGTATCAGAGTGCCAGAGGAGAAACACAAGGTTTTTCATTGTTTACCTGTTTCCATTTTAATGTTAATTTCAGTTTTGTAGTTGGCAGATGAGGTCCTAGTGACATAAACCTAGCAAAGGAACACAAGTGACATTTAGTGATATTTGATGGTTATCGTTTCAGTTAATTGTTCCTGAACAAAATGTGATTGTGGCGCTAAACTCTTAAGTAGTCTGCTTTTTTTAAAAAGTCCTTCATGACTGGACAAAAATTATTCATAATGCCTCACTGTTACTTTACGATAACTAGAATAGATTAAGTGGAAAACTCAAACACGCCCCGAACTGTTTTGATTAAAAACAAAAGTCTCCTAATTTGTTTATACCACAATACAAATCTACTCTTGTGTAACGTTGGAGTCTCCTAAAATAATATTGAAATCCATTTGACAAAGAACAATGCTTCTATTTTACCACTCTTTACAATTGGTATATTATGATTTGTCGTACTATTACTTGCAAAATCATCGCTGATGAGCGACTAATTCTTGTAAAGCTTGAAGGATTAACCCTCACT